GCTAACATATAAAAGAAAATGGTATTCTGTTTATAGACTTTATTGTAGACAACCGTATTATCTTGCAAAAGTGTGTGGTTATGTGGGGAGAAGAAAAGAATGGATAGATGCAATGAGTAAAACCAGGCTCATTATCACCAGAAAAAGAAAAAAAATGGAAACATATGTGATGATGGTAAAATAGCATTATTTTGCCATTGCACAGAGGACAGAATATTTTTTAAAGTGTGTATACATAAGCATTTAGGGACTCAGTTGTGGGTTTTTCACAAGGGAGAAAGCCTACATTTTTATCTGGAAACCACTAATGGGGAATTAGCATACCTTCTTTCAGAGGTATATAAGTAGAAAGAGAATTACTGAGGAAATTAACCAGTGTTCTGGGGAATAATTTAGACCCTTAATGCCTGAAGGGTTGAGGGCTTTAATTAGAGGATTAGTTTAATTTTTATTAAATTTTATTGTCTTTTATTTATTTCTTTGGTGAGATCTTTTTATTTGTAGATAGTAAATCACACATTCATTGTTATACTTCATTTAAGATTTTAAAAATTAATAATTTTATACCATTTTTCTTATGGATAAAAGAAGCCTAATCTTTTAAAAAAATACTGTTGTAAACTAGTAACTCAGGAAATAATAAATTATTTCACTATGGCTTCAGTTTGGGGATCTAACAGTATTTCTCTTATTAAATCAAACAAAGAAACATGTTTCTGCTTGTTCTCTTGTAATTGTATTATGATCCTATTAAGTTATAGTTTCTTTTTTAATGAATCTTTAAAAAATATACTACTCTGAATATATTATAGGACATGTTAACCAAGTGTAAAAGAAAAGAATACTTTTTTGAGGAGACGTTAGTCATTTTATGATCCAGTTACTCCCTTTCATTATTGAATGAGTCAGGTGTAGATTTGTCAGTGCAGGTATATACATTGGTGTTTTTGGGATTGTGAAACTGTGGATATGTGTATTTATGTACTTGGTAGCATCAGTTTCCCATCTTGAATATTTACACCATTTAGTTAGTGGGTATAGTGTAATAACTTGCCAGTTTATCACTTACGAATACATTGGCAACAAAAAACTTCACTAACGGTAGCTAAAACACATTGAGATTTATTTTTCTCATGTTAAATTTATTTATTTAAATTTATTTATTTATTTATTATTATTATTATTATTATTTATTTGACTCATGTTAAAATGAGTCCAAAGGCTGGTAAGTCAGTTGGTGTAGTGACTTAAGGTTGTCATCGGAGACTCAAGTTCCATCCTCTTCTGCTCTGCCATGTGGCTTTCCTCCTTCTGACCTTGTGATTGCTGGATAGGCCTTGCATTCTCTTTCCAAGCAGAAAGAAGAAAGCAGTGCCTCTCTCAGGAAAACAGAAGCATTCCCAGAAACCCACTTAGGGTTACATTGTGCAAAAGAAATTGGGAAGTTATTTTTTATTTATTTTTTTTTGGGGGGGGGGAGTTATTTTTTTAAGTGGAGCACATCACCATTCTCAACACAGGGCTCAGCTGGGGAGCAATCAGGGGAAGATAGATACTGAATGGTAGGCACCTCTCCACATCACACACTGACTCTTTGTTTTCATTCAGGTTATTTTCCTCATTATAAGAATAGCACCCAGCTATCTAAAAATGAAGTCACTATGCACTCCCCTCCTTAAGGGCATCCGTTTTTCACATTATTGGTACCATCTTCAAAGCTCTGTATCTGCAGTCTTGAGCTGTAGCCCAATACTCAGGTTCTCACTGCCTGCAGGAGTGTTTTACCTGGACATTTGCTGCTTGGTTCAAATATACTTATGTGCAAAGCTAAGTCTTTTTATCTTTAGTTAGTTTTTTTTTTTTTCAGTCAGGATTGTCTGCATTTTACCATATTAGGAGCTGAGAATAATCCTAACTTCTTAAATTCCTTTATTCCATAATCCAGCCTGCCATCAGTTGTAGTTTCCTTTACTGAAATGTCTTGGAGGTGCCCCCTCCCCCTGCCCACTGTCATTGCTGAAGTTCAAACACTCACCACCTCATTTGTACATCATCCACAAGGTTTACCAGCTGACTTCTCCAATCCTGTTCTTCCTCTTTTATCCATTCTGGGGTCACTAACAGTCAAATTTTATTAAAACTTAGTTTTCTTTCTTTTTTTTTTTAAACTTAGTTTTCTTAAATATTTTCCCCCTATTTAGAGTTTTTAAACCAAATTCAAAGTGCTTTCCTCTTTTAGAGATTTCTTTCATACCTGATACTTATTCTGTCTTTATTTCTCAATCTAAATTGTCTTTCTTGTTGAAGAATTCACTCCTCAGTATACTGTCTCCCGCTTATCCGCTAACAATTACAAGTGGTCATGGAGAGTTTCCTCCTCTTCCCTGATTGTGTCCCCAGCCCCCACCTCCAGCATGTTTCCATTCTCATCATTCCAAGTTCTACCTTTCAAGGCCTAGCTTCTAAATTATTTTCTTTTAGAACTTTCTTTGACAGTTCCTTCCTATGTGTTTTTGTATCTGTTCTAAACTACATTTTGAAGAAGCTATGTGGTATAATGAGATTTCTTTGGAGCCAGAGAAGTATAACTTTAAATCTTAGCTACACAGCAACTTTTTAGCCTTAAGCAAGTTAACCTTTCTAATCTAGTTTCCTTATCTTTCAAATTTAAATAATTATATGTACACACATATACCTTTTTGTGAGTGTAAAATGAAGTAACATTTAGTAATATATGTTAGTACTTAGTATTAGGGATTGTTGCTTGAAAACAAAAATCCAGGATAATAGTATCTTGAAATTGAAGTTTATTTTTCTCTTAACATAAAAGAAGTCCAGGGTTAGGAAGTGTCCAGGGCTGATACGGTAGTTCATCTGGGACCCAGGCTTTCTCTGCTTTTGTTTTCTTTCATCTCCTACAGCCTAATTTCTATATCAAAATTATAATTACCTAAAAAAAAAACACAAAAAAACCCAAAATTATAATTACCACATAGTTCAAGGTGGCTGCTGGAGCTCTAGCTATCATAACTACATTTCAGATAGCAAAAGGAGGAAGAGCATGAGGAGGGAAAGGAGGCCTGCTTTCCAGTTTAGCTTTCTTTAACTAGCCTTCCTGGAAGTCCTTCAAACCCCTGCTAATGATAGTCTCATTGGCTGGCACTTAGTCACATGACCACCACTTGCTAAAAGGAAGCTGTAAATTTTAATCTCTCAGTTGTTGGTACACTGTTGCACAAAATAGAATGAATATTCTATTACTAAGAAACAAGGAGATAATTAACATTGAGTGGCTACAGGCAGCCTCAGCCATAGTTACTTGTGGTAACCCTGTGGTGCTTGACAAATAGGCTTAACAAGTATCTTTATGTCTCTCTATTCTTTCTGTTCTACTTAGTGTCAACTTAGCACCTTATTCTTCTTTGCTTCAAATATGTCTTACTTTTTCAGGTACATTGAAAGTTTCTAAGTGGACAAAGACTGTATATCATAATTCTTTGTTGTGTTTCACAACACCTAGCAGAATGCTTGGCACTTGGACCATGTAGTAGGAACTTAGTATGTATTTGTTAATTGATTTTATTTTTTACTAGGACCATAGTTTTTTTTTGCCTCTCATTGAATCTCCCCACCCATCATGAGTATTTAGTACTTATTCTTCAACTACAAAGTAGCAGCTGTCTAGAGAGGATGTACTTGAGATTTTCATTTCTTTGATAATTTCCTGCTTTCTCTTGCCTAAAAAGTTAGTCTGTGGAGTTGATATTCTAACACTTTATCTTTCTTGGGTTAATGTATTTAAAATGGATTTGTTATATACCAAGTGCTTCAAGATAAATACTTCAAATTAAACCTAAGGAATAATGCATATTTGTTTGTAGTATATATCAATTACGTATATATCTCTAATATACTTATTCATTATACATATATAGAGTAAGACTTCAAAATGCCACTTTTAGCAAGGCCTCAGGAAATGATTTTTCTGTGCATATTTAATTCACTCATTTGTAAGGAAGCTCAATAGTTTGAAAAAAGCTTAGGTCACATTTCTTTGTCACACTGATTTTGAGTTGCTAGTGATTTTTCTTTTTCTCCCCAACCATGGATGAGAAGACAGGAAGAACTAACTGGAGAGAGGAGACTCTTTCCAAGAAGATAAAGAAATAGTATTACTAGAAAGTTCTTTCCCATCTGCTTGAGTCAGACTTTATGGTAAAAATAAGATGTTACGGAATCAAAGTATCTTGGGATAGAAGAGTTTATAGGAATTCTTTTTATTCCATTTTGGTACTCACTGAATGGGGTATTTTTTTTTTAAGATTTTATCTATTTATTTATTTGAGAGAGAGAACAAGTTGGGGGAGGGACAGAAGGAGAAGCAGGCTCCCTGCTGATCAGGGAGCTAGACATGGGGCTTGATCCCAGGACCCTGGGATCATGACCTGAGGTGAAGGCAGAAACTTAACCAACTGAACCACCCAGGCATCCCTGAATGGAATATTTTAAACATGCTTTATGCTTCCTTCACAGGTATACATTACATTATTAGCATATGAATATACAAATATGATACAATTTCATACCCCCCTTAACCAGTATGCTAATATATTCACCCAAACATGCATATGTCTTATATAAACACATATAAATGCTAAGAGAGAAAAGTTATGCTGCTACAAATTCTTCTTAGAACAAAGTTAGCTATAAATAAAAAAGAGTTATATATCATTCATTACACTCAAAGAGTAGGAAGTAGACTTATATGAGTGGTTATTTGGTTTGATGTTTAGGTATATATTGAGTGGGTGGGAGATAAGGGGCTTGGACAGTAAAGTAACTATACAATGTTAATAAGAATATATATTAACGAAAAATTATAATAGCTTTATGATATTTTTTAATTGATACTTTTTGACTGGTGTACAAATGACAGTCATTTATTTATGAAAAGTTGATATTTCTTTCTAGTTTGACTTTATTTGGTTTTGTTCTCATAGATGTTTTCTCCCAGATGTCAGATTCCAGTGGCTTAATGATATTTAGCAAGTTTGACCAGTTTCTGAAGGAAGTTCTGAAGCTCCCAACAGCTGTCTTTGAAGGGCCGTCTTTTGGTTACACAGAACACTCAGTCCGCACCTGTTTTCCCCAGCAGGTAAGAACAGTTTTGTAAAATCTAGGACTAGGAGAGCGCTCATTTATCCCTCTACCTCTTACAGATTTCACCAGGTTGCTTGTAGTCTAGGGACATAAAGGGGAGGAGAAAGAGCTTTATGTGGGGGGTGGGGGGGGGCGGTGGGGAGAGACTGAAGAGGGTGGATAAAAAATTTACCTGAGAATTTTGGTTTGGGGGAGAGGGGAGTCTTTTCTGAAAAGTGATAACATAAAATATTTTAAATTACTAACATTTTAAAGAAAAATGTTTGAGATTGAAATGTTTATATTATTGCTGCTGGACATTTATTACTCTCCTGAATGAGATCTTTAAACTGTGAGACATAGGAATTTTGGCATAAAACTCTACAATACTGGACCATTTTTTCCTGAGCACCAAAGATTCCCAGCTGCCAGCTCAGAATCCCTCAAGGGCACACTGCCGTTTTCATATGAAGGAAAGACAGATTGGGTTTCCTCTTTATTTGTATGTCCTTCTGCGATCCTGCCCTTGAGGTTGAATGTGTGAATTCCTGAGATCTTAACTGGGCCTCAAATGACTCAGAGCACAGTGGATGCTGACTGTAGCTTCATTTATTCAGGGAGACATGAGATAAAAGGCACTTCATGCTACACTTAGAAAGTTAGGGAAAGTGGGAAATTAAGAAAAAGTCTGTGTTTAAACTAATGAGTAAGAGAATAAGTAGGATATTGACATAGTCTGAAAGTATCTCTCCATAAGATATTTATTAATTATAAAAGGAAATATAGTAACCTTAGAAAGTTACTATGTTATAGTAGAGAAACCTCTTAGATCCACAATAACCAAGTGATCAAAGACCCTATCACCAGTAAAGGGGACACACTGATGTCCCTGCCAGTCAGGAGGCAACACAGGAGGATGCACTGAGAAGCACCCAGTACCACTGCTTTGGTACATGGGCCAGAAAAGCAAAACCTAAGTCTCATTTTCCTTCTTTCCTCTCCATTTTTTTTTAAAGATTTTATTTATTTATTCATGAGAGACACACACAGAGAGAGAGGCAGAGGCACAGGTAGAGGGAGAAGCAGGCTGCATGCAGGGAGCCCGACGTGGCACTCCATCCCAGGTCTCCAGGATCATGCCCTGGGCTGAAGGTGGCGCTAAACCACTGAGCCACCTGGGCTGCCCTCCCCTCCATTTTTTCTGTTTGATTTTATTTTTTACAGTTTTGTTGAGATGTAATTGACATACAACTTTTTTTTTTAATTATTGGTATTCACTTCAGAAACTTGAATCCACAGATATAAGTAGTATATTACCAGAAAGTTACAAGTAAACACAGATTATACATGCAAATTTCTGTTCACAAAGGTCACATGTGCAGGTATATGAATTAGAAGCGTGCATCTAGGGCACTGAGGTGGGCACTTGCTGGGATGAGCACTGTGTGTTATTCTGTATGTCGGCAAATTGAACACCAATAAAAAATAAATTTATTATTAAAAAAAAGTACATCTAGATTATGGCCAAACTGTTTTTAAAATGCAGAAATGTAAAATTACATCTTGAAATATGAAAAGATGATCTACACACTTCAAAAATCAAATGCTGCTTATACCAGATGTATGACAGCTACAGGATTCAAGTGACAAGCAATAAGATCTGAAGAAATTAATACTGCTCAAAGAGAACGGGAATATTTTTACATTTCACTGAAAATACATTGACTACTAGAATACAAAATCTAGCAGGAAGGGTGAAAAATTACAAAAATCTAAAGCCATTTGGCCATTTAGAGTTAAGAATTCATATTTATCTGAATTTAGGGGAAAAAATTACAAAAGTCTAAAGCCGATTACTTAGTATTTATTACCTAAACAACAGCATGACATTAAAAGAAAACTGCACCTGCTTTTTAATTGCCAATCTCATATTAGTGAAAATCTCCAAATAAAAAGCAACCAAAAAAGCTTCAAACTCCAAATGAAGTCTGCCAGGCTCAGATTAAAATGTGGAATGTTTCAGATGAAAGTAATAAAAATACAATTGGTCTTGTTCTTTATTGAATGGAATCAAAAGTATAAGGTGTACAACGTAATGACTTGGTGTTTGTATATATTGCAAAACAATTATCCACAATAAATTTAATTAACATCTATTTGGCCTGAGTCTCGAGGAAACATCTGACAAGTCCAAATGAAAGGATTTCTACAAAGTAACTAGCTTGTACACTTTATAAATGTCAATGTCATGAAAGACAAAAAAAAAGACTGAGCTGTTCTACATTACAGGAGTCTAAAGAGAGAAACATTCAATGCAGTTTACAATCTAGGTTTTTCTTTTGTTATGAAGGACATTATTGGGACATTTGAAAAATTCTGGATAAATTTTGTAGACTAGATAATAGTATTTTGTCAATAAATGTTAATTTACTGATTTTGATACTTGTATTAAGTTTTGTAAGAAATATCCTTGTTTTAAGAAATATGATCTGAGGTATTTAAGGGCAGAAGGGTATCTCTTCTGCAGTGTTAACATTTAAGGAATCTGGGTAAATGGGAATTTTTTTGGTAATCTTACAGTCATTCTATAGTAATAGAAATAATTCTAAAATTACTTACAAATAAGATAAAATATAGAAAGAAAAAATCTAAAGGTTTGAGAACTGAAAGTACATTGTAGACTAGATCCTCCAACCTGTAATATTTTGATTCACAAGAGCCAAAAACAAATACACATATATTTCTTTTTACATTTAAAGTTAAGAATTCATATTTATCTGAATTCAGACTTTCAAACATATTTTATTATTTGTTTAGAGATTACTCATTGGCTTTAACACCGAACGTGGTGCCTATAATACTGGTGAATTATTTTCACCAAGTTCTGAGATGTTCTTCCCAAATCTGTATGCACTTGGGCTAATTGTTTTTGTAGAAATTTGTCTTTATACATAATTTATTTTTTCTCCGTGTAAATGACAATACCAGCTTTTAGCATATTAAACATAGCTGTGTGCTTCAATTTATTCTAATAAAGTACAGTTTGCATCCTCCCATCCCATATATTCATTTTTATTTTTATTTTTTAAAGATTTTATTTATTCATTCATGAGAGACACAGAGAGAGGCAGAGACAGAGACAGAGGGAGGAGGCCCCCTGTGGGGAGCATGATGTAGGACTCAATCCCAGGACCCTGGGATCACAACTTGAGCCAAAGGCAAATGCTCAATCACTGAGCCACCCAGGTGCCGCCCTCCCTGCCCCCCAACCCCGTTTATTTATTTATTTATTTATTTATTTATTTATTTATTTATTTATTTATTTATTTATTCATTCATTCATTCATTCATTCATTCATTCATTCATTGTTTTATTTATTCATTCATGAGAGACACACAGAGAGAGCCAGAGACACAGGCAGAGGGAAAAGTAGAGGCTCCATACAGGGAGCCCCATGTGGGACTTGATCTCCGGATCAGGATCATGCCTTGAGCCAAAGGCAGACGCTTAACCGCTGAGCCACCCAGGTGTCCCATATATTCATTTTTAAATAATCTGAGCTGTCCATAGGTATCTTAGTACAGGGTATCCTGCAGGTATTAAAATGCCCAGAAGCAATGTAAGTGAGGATGAGTATGAAAAAGAAACTGCAAATATTTTTTATTTAGAACTCATCTCACTTTTGCTGCTTTAGTAGTACCATTTCATCAAATGATTGCCCCCAAAATACTCTGGGGTAATCATGTATGTTATGTACATGTTGCTTTTCACACAAGATGCTTGCTGGAGGTCAGGCTAAAACTTGATCAAGTTTTGGAATGCTATTATTAAGTGTCAGAATAGGGAAGGGAATTTATACAAAGAAGTGTCCGTAAAGAACAACATCTGATCAGTGATGAGAATTATGTGGGGTGCTAAATCCAAAGTAACCCTTGATCTAATTGTAATGTGACTAATATGACACTCTGGTATTGGAGCAGAAGTTTAAAATATTGAAGAATATACAGAAACTTCCAACTGTTAATCCTAAGAATGCTATCTAGAATTCTCCAGATTACTTTATGCCTTTATTGTGAAGCCTTTGAACTGACTGTTGCTTCTTATATACTTCAGATTCCTATAAAAACTCAGTCTGTGTTTTGATATGTGCCAAATTTGGAAAAGTCAGAGAAGCTTATCTCAATCTAGAGGAAACTTACATTTTCCTTGGTCTGTAAAGATGACAAAAGAAAAGAGACCCTCACAAGAAAAAGAAACTACTGATAGAATGACCCCCAAAAAAGAGACTTTGGAAAAAGTTTCATGCAGCAAGAGTTAAATCCGATGATTTTTGGGTTCCTTTTTGAAATAGTCTTTTTCCATATAGATTGTTTTACTATGTGTGTGTTTTTTTAATGCAAATTCACTCTTAGACCCTCAGATGGAGAGAGAACAGTGTCAGCGTAAAGTGGAAATTGCACTGTTGAATCACATGCAATTTTCCCCAGCTTATTAATATTCTGGGCTGAACAAAGAAGTGATCACAGAATGTACGTCTCTTTTAAGAAAGAAGTGGAAATCTTGCAGAAGTATCTTTCTTTAGTGAAAGAACTGACTAGTTTGGAGGATTCACGAACTGCTTCACTTTCTATGGTGTTAATGGGGTAAAACTGTAGCTACAGAGATGTAGCTACAAGAGATGTAAAGACATCTCCTGTCCCCCTACACCCGTGCTACAAAAATTGATTGATAGGGTTAGCTATCCCTTGGATCAAGTATTTAGTTTTGATAAAACTAATCTGTTTTGGGGCACCTGGGTGGCTCTATCAGTTGAGTGTCTGCTCAGGTCATGATGCTGGGGTCCTGGGATTGAGTTCAGCATCAGGTTCCCCACTGGGAGCCTGCTTCTTCCTCTGCCTGTGTCTCTGCCTCTTTCTGTGTGTCTCTCATGAATAAATAAATAAAATCTTAAAACAAAACAAAACAAAAAACTAATCTGTCTTGAAAGTAGTATGCCCTTATGAAGAAGTAAAAAA